GAGTCTTTGGGAATTTTCAGCCACAGAAGAGGGGTGGGGAAAAAGATGATTAACAAAGAAATATTAGGTGCAGTGGAAAGCATCCAGAAAAGCGAGGAGGAAAAAAAGGGTGAGGAAGGGAAACCCTCAAAGGCCACAGATTTCCAGTTCAAAGATAAAAATTTTAAAAAGTGACTCTGTACACAAATAAATGTTACATGCTCAGAATTTATATTCTGGGCATTATCAATGCTACAGATAAGCAACATACTAAAAACAAATAATTTAAAAAGCTATACAATTGTACTTATAAATACTTTGTCTTTAAAACTAGTTAAGTAGTGTTGGCCAAAAATGTTCACAGTTACTCTGACCAGAGCTGTATATATTATATATATTGCACAGTAGTAAAAAAAGTCCATTCATTATACCTGTGTAAACAATGATTTCTCCTCTTTGGCAATTTTTAGGATTTAGCGGAACAACATTTGCCATAAGCAAAAGCACTTGGGTACAAGGCACATCAAAAGCTTTTAAAACAAGTTAAAAACGGTCCCCAAAACTTTCCAGTTAATGGTATCATTCCACTTAACGTCATGTAACCATCAATTAAAAACAGGAGTAAAATTTAGAACTTTGGTGGGGGAAAAAAATATATATATCACATTATTGTGGGTTGTTTATTCCACAGTCACAGATTTGGCCAGATTTCTTGGAAAGTCCACCTGGAATGAACAACAGATTTTCAGAATATGGTAGTTAAAGCAAATCTTCTACATTTGTTGAATTAATTCAATTTGCGTGCACACATGCATGTATCAATGAATTCTGCTGCCCATCTGTCCCAACACCAGTGAATGCCCAAGAATATGGATTCAAAAAAGTTTGAGATTTTAAATCCACAAAGAAGTCAAAAGCTGCCTTACAATCCATCCCTCCTTGAATATATACATTACTATGATAAAACACCCTATCATATGATAAAATTTAAGACAGGCATTGGAACAGACTCTCCAAGAATGGCACCATTCCAAGGTCAATGTTCTTAGTAATTTTTATGAAAAAGGTATCACACATGCTCCTTGAATAAACTTCACTTACCCTGGAAATATTTCCTGAAAATAGACAGAGAAGTCTGCACTCTAATGACTGATCATTTGCTCAATTTCACTCTTGAAAATGGAATTTTTATACTCCAGTTAAAAGCAGCTTAAGTTAGGGGATTTGTACTGAAATTCTATCTTGACTAACTAGAGCACAGCTATTCCCTTGTTAACATACATTAACTATTCCCCTCTCTTTAGGCTGGTAGGAGGAAGTTCACAAGCATGTTTCTCTCACTGCAGTACCAAAATACAGAAGACACTTACATCATATCCTCTAAGAACAGCCAGGTGGAATGAAAGCAGCTGTAGGGGAATAACACTCAAGACGCCTTGGAGACAGTCAACTGTGTGGGGCAGCTCAATAGTTTTGTATGCAAATTTTGAACTTTCAGTATCTTCTCTAGAAGACAGAATAATTGGGCGACCCTATAAATAAAAATGTAATAATGAAGAGTGGTGACATACAACTTTTTGGGGGGTGTATGTTGCTGGTTTCTGAAATACCTATAGTATATTTTGAAAGCATTACTCAAACATATAGAAAGAAAAATGTCAATGCAGGTTTATTTTATAGGAAACTAGGTGCTTGTTTACATGATGGTATTTTTAATTTAAATCGAGATTTTGACTTTAGCACCATATACAGCTTTATTATTATTCCAACTGCATTTTTACAAGTCACTCTTCACCACTGGTGTCAACTTTTAATGTTATATTATAATCAGATGGCAAATGCATCTGATTTGATGATTAGACAAAATCACCATCACATTCTGTTTCTGAAGTGTGATCAGTAGTGTCATATTTCAACATGCAGAACATCTCTCCATATGATACAGTGCTCACTAGACGGCTTACCTGTCGAGCAATGACCTGTTGCAGTGCATTCTGGCACTTGGTGAAGCAGGGATCCTTCATAATTACCATGATAACAGGCATATGTTTATCTACAAGGGCCAGTGGTCCATGCTTTAATTCACCAGCCAGGATACCTTCGGAGTGCATGTACGTGATCTCCTTGATTTTCTAGAAAGCAAATGCCAGAGCATTAAGGGCAAAACAGGTAAGAACCTCAGAGGGCAAAAACAGATACAAACCTGAATGTCAGCTGTTTAAACATGGAAATAAGGTAACAGGTTAATTTTAATGTGCTCTTTTCAGAAATTGATTTATTTCCTCTTAAGACAAACCAATTCCCAAACTTATTTTTGGCAAAATTACCTTAATTTCCACTTCTATAAAAGTGGTGTACTCATTTCATGAGTTATGTCTGACAGAAGTCAATGGGAATCTTTGACTGGGGCAAAAAAAAATAGCCAGATGGGGTAGGAGTGACTAGGGTTAGTCAAAGAAATTTGCAACACAGATTAAGATGTGTTAAAAGTGGCCAGAGTTAGAGACAGGTTTATATTTTAGAATCAGTCAAATCTTTGGCGAATGGTGATAGTTTCTGACCAGACATACTGCATCATGTGATAGTCCTAGTGCGAGAGGTTTACTGCAAAGATGGTGCAGCATAAAAGGTTCACACATTTTTTCCTTAGCCATATACATGTTTTGGGAGTTTAAATAGCTAGAAATGATGTTTGCCTGTATACAGTTACATTTGCAGATGGAACAAAAAGCAACGGGAAGGGGAGTGAAAGAATTAACTGCACCAGTTATTTTGTCTAATTCAAAAATGTAATTACAGGAAAAAGAAGCAAGCTGTCTTTTTTTTTTTTTAAATATAAACCACCAAAATAGGTAAATAGGACCTTAAGTTTTCAAAAGCATACCCACCAATGCTCCTTCCAGGCAAGTGGCATAGTTATAGCCACGCCCCATAACCAAGAGCGATCTCTGTTTGTACAGTTCAAGGGCCAAGTCATGTATCTTCTCATCCAAGGACAAGACTTCTTTAATCATCTCTATCAGATCATATAATAAAAGAGAATGTAGCATAAATGCCATTATTCCATGTTTACTAGCTTGACAGTATTTCAATCTGTTTCAATGAAGCAGTAACAGATGGACTCAATTGTATGAATTTAAACTTATTTACAAAACTGCGAAGTTATGAAGGCTAGACAGACGACTGGATTCTAAAATGTCTTATTTGATCTAGTTTCCACAGGATCCATTTAGTATTTTTAAATATACTTTTATAATTCTTTCTGGAACCTGTTTTGTATAGGCTTGATTTAAACAAAATAGTAAATACTCTAAAAGTTACTTTAAAAGGAACCTGTATCCAAAAAAAGTTATTCACTACAATTTACATTTTAGAGTAAGACATTTCTTAGTTTTCCAATTTCTTTACTTGGTGTCCATTTATATGGCAGCTCTGAGTATACGTCAGCTTCACAACCATCAGTTTACTTTATTATCCATACCTTTCGTGAAACCATAGGAAAAGAGAAACTAAGTTGGAATGGGATTTTAAGGGTCAGGTAGCAGGAGAAAGGATTATACAGAGACAGATGTACTACTTGAAATCAAGTTAATATCATCACTTTACTTCAAAGGATTATATTCCAGAACGAGGGAAAAATCTCAGTGCACTAATGAGCTCTAATGCACCAATACGTGGAATAGTAAAAAAGTATGAACTTCAAATATACCAGGTAACGTTTGCAGCCCACTGATGATCTCCTGTCTCCTAGTCTGCAAAGAAATTCTGTCTTCGGACATCATGAGGCCAAACATTACAAGAGAGATGAACTGGCTGGTGTAAGCCTGCCAACAAAAACAGAACGTTAACTCTTACGGACTTGACTGCTTAATGCAACCTAAATCTTAACTACCAATATATTAACATTTTGATTGGATTTCACAGAGGAAAGGTATAAAAAGCCACAGTGAACAGAGTTACCTTTGTGCTTGCCACTCCTATTTCAGGGCCTGCATTGATATGCACACCACAGTCAGTCTCCCTGGATATTGAGCTTCCCACGGTGTTTGTAATGCCAACCGTCAGAGCCCCACGATCCTTACAATACCGCAAGGCCATAAGCGTATCTGCAGTTTCTCCTACAGAACAAGCAGTTTGACATTTAAATTTAAACACAGAACAGCAAGAGCACTGGGAAACTTTAAATCTGTCATATTCAAGCTTACTTCAGGCTCTAACCAATTGAATCCAGTTATGCACAACAACAACAAAAGTTTGTAATCATGAGTGAAAACATTTACACTGAAACCTCATTTAAGCATTATTCACAAGCTGTTTCTACTTTTGATTCATGCCACTGATTTGAAAAGCAAGATTTGCATCCAATATAGAGCTCTGGTACCTTTAATCATTATCCTCCCTTGTTTTACTTCAAATTAAGACATTCAGACAGAAATAAGTTTTATTTATTGGATTTTTTTTAATAACTTTGCTACATGCCTCTATTCAGACAGGGATGAGCAGTCAAGGCAACTCACCTGACTGACTTATAAAAAAGCACACATCATCCCTGAATACAGGAGTGTTTCTATCCAGAAAGTCACTAGCAAGTTCCACCATCACAGGCAACTCTGTCAACTCTTCCAACATCTGTCGGGTCTATATTCAATAAGCACAAGACACTTGTTAATACTGCCATCCATATCAATACTTTATAGTTTTGTGTTTTGGGGGGGGGGAGAGGAGAGAGAGAAAAAACAAGGATGAGTATATTTACAAAACTTAGTAAGAAAGATTTTATTTATTCCTGTTATAGAAGATTGGGCAGCTGTAATTACTGATCAGTTTTAGTAAGTAACATCAAGGAGCAAAAGTTTAATTTCTGGCATGGTAGATCATAGTAAATCTGCATTAAAACAAAAAAAGTGTTTAACACTATGTGTCAGATGCAGAGGAAAGGGGAAAGAAAGATACATCTATTTTCAGACTCATACCAAGGGCTTAAGAAAGCTGTTCTCTAAATCACAAAGCTAAGTAATCCATATATTTTAGAGCAGGTTGAACGTACAGCTATTGCAGCATGATAGCTGGTCCCACAGCCAATAATGATCAGTCGTCGGCATCTTCTGATTTCTTTCAAGTGGTCCTTCAGACCACCCAACAGAACTGTAGTAAAAAAATATATATATACTTCAGCCAGGGATTTTATTATTAAGCCAATGTGTAAAATGTTCGTTATAAGCCAACAAAACTTCAATAATTAAATATTCCAAGCTACCTGTTTTGGTCTCAAAATTCATCCTGCCTCTCATGGTATTGACAACAGATTCTGGTTGTTCAAAGATTTCCTTCTGCATGAATGCACTGAAGTTACCTGTTTAGACAAACACGAAGGTTTCAGTTGTTTTTGTTATTTCAATTACACAGAGTCAACTTTCAGAATGACCTGTAGAAGCATGCTGGTTTAGACAAAGCGTTAATGTAACATCTCATCTCAGTTGTGCCTAGATGGATGTTTAGGGATAGGGGAAGGAAGAAGAGTAGGCCATTTGCTCCATTTAACGGGATTAGTTTTCCCTAAAAAGGACAATCTAATAAATGTGTTTTGGAGGAAGTTGAACAGAAATAAGTAGTTTCTTTGTAATCAAAGTTCTGAGGTGTTGTGTTATAGCTTTGTCAGATCAGTCCAGGCTTACGAGTACTGAACACATTAAAAACTAAAAACTACTTAGGGCACAAATCTGATGTTGTCATCTACAGGGGCAGGTAGTACAATGCACTCCCTATCCTCCCTTTGGTCAGATGTCCTGGGATTGCCAGCTTCCAGGAAGGACTTTCAAGTGCTAGAAACAGGTGCAAATCATGACATGATCAGATGGTAGTTTTCTTGGGGTATAAATCCCCCACACTCCAATATCAGGAAGACTGTCCACCTTTGAATAGACTATATTTGTAGATGTTCCAACTTACCTTTCATGATTTGCTGCAATTCCATCTGCAAGGTCTGGATAGCTCGAGAGGGGTCATCACTAGCTGAACGTTTTAGCCGATGGATAGAAAGTTTCCCATCAGCCACTGCTGCAATGTCATCATCTTCTAGGAAAATTACTCTGTTGGTGTGTTCAATGATAGCACTACAGAAAGACAGAAATAGAGGAGGAGACAGATTTATATTTGGAACAATGTTTCAGTGGGAAGCAGAAGTAGGATTAAAAAAACAAAGCTACCCTCCATTCCAGTTACACATACTTTGCTGGTAGTTGCTACTTTAACTTGCTTTGACTACTTGCATTAGATATATTTTACATCAGAGGCAGAAAGGCTAGAGATTGGCAAGTATCACTAGCATACAGCTCAAAAACTGGTGGTGTTCTATTAAAGGCTCTTTCCCACCTCTGGTATAAGTTTTCCCATCCTTATCAAATAAGTAGACTAATTACCAGTTGGGCTTCCTAAATCTCCATGATAAAACAGCCTACCTCCAATTCACAAAAGAACAGCAGAGAACAAACAGATAAGGTGTCAAAAACTGACTTTGTCACTGCTACAGAGCAAACCAAAAAATACAAGTGCTCATTACCTCGCATCAGAAGCAAAGAAAAATTCTACTGCTTTATCTCCAATAGCATGAAGGCAGGTAGAACTATCCAGTCTTTTCATTCGGGTCTTGCATATGTTCTTCACATTCTCAATGTTACCTAGTGATTAAATAAAATGAGACAAGTCCAATATATAGACCAATCTGAAATGCAGAACCCAAGTGGGGGTTTGAAATAGGTTGTGAACTACACAGCTCAAGATACCACAAAAAAGTGATGATCACCATTTCTAAGAAGAAACCTGCATTTCTTAGAATTTTGAGTTGAATATTCTGTGTAATGTAGGACCATGTATTTTGTCCAGACTATCTGGTAGCAAGGAGAGACACTGCATTTAAGTAACCCCTCTCAAATGGACATTAAATAACAGTAATACAAAATTGGATATTTTCAGATAAGAACTCACTTTGAGCATCTGTTGATGGTTTTAAGGTACAGAAGTTAACCTCTTCTCTTCTAAAGGACTTAATGTGACTTGAAATTAATTTATGTTTAAAAGAAAATCCTGCTCTGTATTTGTTATGTATCTTGAAAAACAAACAGATAAGCTAGTTATAACTTACATGTCCTATACAAGATAGGAATCTGTTCAGTGGAAAGCTTGTATTTGCTGCGAACTCCAATGAGTAGAGGACTCCCTCGCCTGTGAATGCAATGATGAGCAAGTTAGCTAGAAAGTCCTTTATACAGGGTAGGTTCTCTGATTAACTAGACATCTGCAGAGTTGAAAGGCCACACCCCTTCCTATTCCATAGGGAGGCAGATGCTCCAACCACACCCTTGTGGCATGATATATTGGGAATGATGCAACTGTAACTCAGTTTCCCCACCTACAACCACCCCTCTTATGGGATGGCATGCCATGATCTTAGATGGTTACATCCCCAGGCTGCCAGTGCAGCAGCTATGGCTGCTGCTGGTGCAGTATCTGGTGCCTAGGGCTTCTCCTGCCCTAGAGGTCCCATCCCCGCCTCCTTCCTGCAGCTGCTGAGGTCCAAGTGCCGCTGGGAGATCGCCCTCACTGTATCATCTAGGCTGCTCTCCTCCATAGCACATATGGAAATATATATGAGCAAATCTTTAAAGCAGTAGTTGGATCCCTTTATACTGCATACTCAAGAAGCTGCTCTTTTCTACAGATAGATACTTTTCTCTGCCTCTGAAATGAGACAGCAGTAAGCCCAATAATCATTGTATAATTAGGGATTTGTTTTGCCTTTCTTCCTCTCAAACTCAGGACCCTAATTACTGTGCCTATGGACTTGTGTGAGGTTAGGAGGCAAGGCAGAATTCTATCACTTTTCTGACCCAGATGGATCATACCCCACATTAAGTCACTAGATTACACTTTAAACCAGTCCATTTTTTGTAACCTCAATTAAAAAGAGTCAATATACATGTTCTACAGCATACCTAGGAAATTCCACACCTATAGCCCGTCCAATGTGGCGTGTCTGACTCTGTAAGTTCTTCTCTTGATACAATATATAGCAATTCCTTCTAAAATAACTGAGTTACATGCATCAAGAATAAGTCTTGTTTGTCAAGTTCTGACGGCTTTTCAGTTGTGTTTATAAAATGCTAATTCATGTTTTACAAAATTATTACCTCAACAACCGAGGCTGCATTTATAACAGACTTTCAAAACGAAACTCGTGAAACAATTTAATCCTTTAGAATTCTGTAGTTTTAGAAAGTAAGACTAGTTAATGATCTCAATTAAAGAAGCGTTCAGAGGGAATGGAGTTGCAATTTGCAACCATTATCTACCTGAGCTCAAGAACCATACAGGATGTTATGCACAGGTGCAGTATTTTCATCATCATATTAGTCAATTTTACTTATATTTCATTTTTTTCTAACAGTTTTCAAATTGTATTTGATTGAATCTTGATAGTTACTTAGAAAATACAATGGTTAAATACTGAAGTGACTGTTCCCATATTTTACTGATCAGACTTTATATTACAGACCACCACAAATGAAGAAAATGGGTTTTTAAAAAAATGGATTTTCACTAACCTGGTGGCAACAGCTTCACCTGGGTAATGGATGCTCTTGAAAACCAATGCGAAAGCACCTTCCTGGAAGCCATACAAATGATTAAAAAGGGAAAATCCCAAATAGGTTACATGAATGAGTCACATCTTGCATTAATCTGGGCCCTCCTCTTCCTGAGGAGCCTCTTGGGTCTAGCTCTTAAGGTTATCTGGAGTCTTTTCCTGAAGTCAAATTGCCCCCTTTAAGGGGTCAGCCAGGAAGTAGTGGAATAAATGCAAGGCAGACAAACATGCACTCTACAAACAGCCAGAAAGATTAGAGGAAGAGAACTCCCCGTCTCCCTTCGCCCCATACACACAAAAGGCTGTCAATTCTCATCATGAACAACTTTAAGAGTCAATAAAAATGACAGCTACAGATTCAGTAACATTTAGAAATGGAATACAAATTTGTTATGCATTACAGGATATACATGGAATGACTTCTAGGTTTGTAGGCCAAAGTTCTGGTCCTACTACTTCTTAGTTTGCTTACTATCAAGTGCAAGTATGGGGCTCCATTTTTTTATTTGTTTTTTTTAAGACACCACACTCAGAAGCAGCCTTGTATAAAAATGTTTGTTAGCTTTGAAGTTGAAAAGTACCATACTGTGCAAGAGCAAACTCCTGCCCCAGGTTACCAAGATTAAGACCATCTCCTGACACACATTCAGGGACAATATGAAATAGGCAGGGTGTGGAACTGCTCAAAAGCAAAATCCACAGAGCTACAGAAGTGGGTAGGCAGTCTATGCAGATGGATTCACCAGTCCCCTAACTAGCTCTCTGTGGATCCTATCCTTCTCTCCTGTTTATTGCTCCCCTAGTGTTGCAGAAAATCTTAGGGAGTTGCTGCAAGGAGGAGAACGGGGGACTCAATGGTGAGGGGGGTAGGGCACAGTCAATTTCAGTATTTATGGTGCAAGTTTGCAATTCCTAGGTCTATAGTAGAATATTTAGCTCACCAAAACACAGTAATAGGCTCCCATTTCTAGACCAACAGTTAAAGCATACATACATAAGACTGAACTCCAAATAAGGAACCAAGATTTTTTACTAGACTAAGTTACTCAGCATTGCTGTGATTCAAGTCTACCTGTATTTAAATTAATCACAGTAGCACTTGAGATCACTGCTCTCTGCAAAAGAGGCCCGTTAAAAAGGATGGCTACTATTTGACACCTGCAGAATGTCACATTAAGCAAAAGCGTTTTATTTTTAAAACAGTCTAGCAAAAAGCAGCAACATTCCCCTTGCTGCTTTAAAATACTAACAAAGTTTGAGATTTACCAAGTTTTTCAAGCTTCCAATGTTTTAATCTAATTTCTTGCTCTATAAAAACCACTAAAACAAGTTATTTGCAGCATCTTTTAGTTAATTCTGTGGTGGATTCAATAAATTCATGAAGATATTCGAATAGCAGTATGAACAGTCCCCCTTCGCACAGAAAGATGGAATTCCCACACTTACCAGTTGTTGAATAACTCTCTCTACCAAGGCTGAAAAGCTGATATCTTCAGTCTCTCTGTTATCATACATGTATTTGACCAGCTTTGGGATGGTTTCAGTGTCAGTTTCTGATTCAAACTCATAGCCTTTGGTTTCCTGCAATGTTATAGATTGAAGGCAAGATAAGTGTTTTCTTCCTCAGGCAGGAACTCAACAAGTGCCTTTAACTGGTGTGTCTCATCAGAAAGATACGTATCTCAAACAGAGGATCATATTGGACTGGTATATCTTTTTTAATCACTGAACAAAGTGTAAAGATGTAACAAAACATAATAGCATTATTTTCAAAGGAATATTTAGATAAGAGACTTTAACTATAACAGAGCAGGGTAGAACATGAGCAACAATGTGCAAAGAGGTTTGCAGATAACACCAGTCATCCCATGTAAAGTGCTAGAAATGCAGTGCATTGTATCAGTTCCTGGGTATTATCCTTATTAGGCAGCTTCCATTACAATACAGTTTTTAAATGAAATAGCTGCACATTTTAATTCACACTATGCAAATGCCATGAGAAATCTGTACATGTTTGCTTGTATTTCCTAGTTTTGGAATTATTCAAGCTGCCATAAACTTACCAGAAATTTCCTCAGGTCCTTATAGTTTGTGATGATTCCATTATGGATAACTACAAACTCTAAAGGGAAGATTAAAATAATTAAACTCCACACACACAAAATTAAAAAGTGAGACGCTTAAAGCCACAAAATACATTAGTTACTTCCAGAGCTTTAAGATCAAGATTTATCACAGCACCCCCAGAGTGAACTACAAAATCCTAGGAGTTTTGTTTTTTAAAAATACAACCTTATAGGACTTAAGTATTGAGATAGTTATACAGCCGTCGCTACTCTAGTGGTATTGGAGCACTTCCCAAAATAGAAACTGTAAACTGGGGGGAGGGATAGCTCAGTGGTTTGAGCATTAGCCTGCTAAACCTAGGGTTGTAAGTTCAATCCTTAAAGGGGCCACTTAGGGATCTGGGGCAAAATCAGTACTTGGTCCTGCTAGTGAAGGCAGGGGGCTACGCGCAATAACCTTTCAGGGTCCCTTCCAGCTCTGGAGATAGGTGTATCACCATATATTATTAAATCTCTTTTCTCCTCTTCCCAGCCAGCCAGTGGGAGAAATACCTTGATTGGCTTGGGGGACGGGAGGGAAGAGAGTGGTCTTTTTGGGGGGGGGGGGAGGGGGAGTCTGTTGCCCTTTCTAAAGAGTTCACACTTAATTTCAGAGATTAAATATTGTAACCAGGGCCGGCTCCAGGCACCAGCCTGGCAAGCAGGTGCTTGGAGCGGCCACTCCAGAGAGGGGCGGCCACTCCGGAGAGGGGCGGCACGTCCAGCTATTTGGCGGACGGTCCCTCACTCCCGCTTGGAGCGAAGGACCTCCCGCCGAATTGCTGCCGCAGATCGCGATCGCGGCTTTTTTTTGGCTACTTGGGGCGGCCAAAACCCTGGAGCCGGCTCTGATTGCAGCTAGATATTAATATTAACAGTAATCTTTATTAACTAGTTTATTAAGGACAGTGTTTTGTTTAATATAATTGTTAATAAATATCTAATAGAATATATGCAATTTAGCCAGACTGAGCAATGATTAAACCCCTTGTACACCAATTAAAAATTCACCATCCAAAAATCATTACATTTGTAAGAGACAATAGGCCATTCGTATACTGTAGTATTTAAAAATAAAGTAACTTCTTTAAAAATAAAAACCATTACCCACCAGATTTTCAAAAGAATTCAGTTCCCATTTAGGCACCATAATAAGTAGCGAGATTTTTAAACAGAGGTTAGTATGCTGGGGGCTGTGTACTTTTGAACATTTGGTCCTTATTTGTTTAGAACTGTTAGGATGTCAGGCCACACTATGTAGGTGCTCCTGGTATAATTTAAATTGCTACACCTATGATGTGTACTTAAGATGTCTACCCCACCCACTTCAAACAATTCTCCTCCCATTTTTAGGTGCCTAAATGGGTGTTGAGCTCTTTTGAAAATCTGACCCCAAGTCCAGAAAAATCCAGTAGGCCAAGACAGGGACAATTTCCACCTCTCTCTCTGCAGACTCATGTACAACAATAGTCAGGAGAATATTCAGTTTGGGCTGATCAAAATTTTTGGCACCACACAAAAATCTGTTTAGTAGCAGCTAAACTATTCTAGTATTCTCATATCAGCAAAGAGATGATTTTTTTCCTGGAGTACTAGCTGCTTCTAATGTAAGTTACTTAGGCCGGGTCTACACTATAAACTTAGTGACAGGCTTCAGAGTAGCAGCCGTGTTAGTCTGTATCCGTAAAAAGAACAGGAGTACTTGTGGCACCTTAGAGACTAACACATTTATTTTTACTATAAACTTAGATTGGCATCACTGCATTGCTCAGGGGTGTGGATTTTTCACTGAACGACAGAGTTATACGGATGGTGTAGACAGCGCTATGTGGATGGGAGGGCTTCTCCCATCAACACAGCTACCACTTCTTGCAAAGGTGGACTAACTATGTGAAGGGAAGATGCTCTCCTGCTGGTGTAGTAGTGTCTCCACTGAAGCGCTAGAGAAGTGCTGCTGTGCTGGTGGAGCATTTTAAGTGTAGATCTACCCTTAGAATTTTTCTAGCCAATCAGAATTCAGACATACTAATAGATTGCTCAAACTTCTTTATGAAAGTTATTTTTAAGCATTTTACAGTCCCCAACAGGCTAAATTCATCCTCAATCTAATCCCTTTGAAATGTAGTTACACCGAGGATGACTGACCCAATAAGGTGTATTTCTATATTAGGTCTGAGTAGATGCCTAGTAGTATTGAAATTTTGATACAAGCAAATATTTATCATTAGTGATTCTATTGCACTTGTGTTTAAGTGAAATTTGTGTCATGACTGAGACTCTTAGATGCAGGGATGTTTTATTTAAGCAATTACTGCTTTGCCAAGTTCAGAAAAATCCACAAAATTGTTCGTTGAAATTTCTGTTTGAGAAGGTAACGGAGTTCAGACTATTTGAAATTTACACACAAGTCAGTTTTATAGTAATCCACTGTACAGTAACTCCTCACTTAACATTGTAGTTATGTTCCTGAAAAA